CCAGACTCCGTCGGGTGCCCTAGCCAGTGAAGTCTACTAATTTGAATTCGATGAGTTAGCAAGCTTGTCCCTGATAAGCGCCCACACACATGACAGTGAGGTTCGAGATAACTAACCCGTTCACACCATCCCACGTGGGCCAAATTACAGAAACACCGACAATCGGAAGCTTCCAGTCGATGGCTATCTTCGGCTATGCTAAGGTTAGGCGTAGAGTTCTAGGTAATCTCGGTCGTCTACTGGATCAAGTAGTCAACCCTTATAGATTACGCTGGTTGGGGCACGTGTTAAGAGTATCACCAGATAGGTTGCCACGGCGAGCGATGTTTACCGAGGCAGGTAGCGGTTGGAAAAAGGTCAATGGTGGTCAAACGCAGACCTGGTATCAGGGTATGAAAACCTTAGCCAGGAGACTGAGTCTTATAAGTCCCGTTAGGCTCTCTGGATAGGGACCCGGAAATCATAGTAACCGGTGGTTAGACACTGAGTGATATGGTTAGGTGTCTCAAACAGTGGCGCTTTCATGCATTTACTCATTATTCTTGCAACCTCAGTGTATATGAATTCTCCATCTTCCGCTTGACATCATCAGTGCTTCACAAAGCACTGATGATGTCACCTCGGCTGGTGATGAAACGTTTGCAAACAAGTTCCCAAGCTCGGCGAACAGGCGGAATAGAATTCAGTTCACGCGAGCTACGAGAACAGATTTTCAATACTTTGTTAACATATCAATAATTTATAACACTTAATCGTTGCTCTTCAATCGGTCACAGAGTGTCTCAAAACGAATTTCCTGGACCAGTCTTAGCAATGTGTCTCTCTGTTAACAATTCTCCAAATCATACTTGTATTAACCTTATATTCAGAAAACTCAAAACTCACTGAAGACCAACAACAGCTCATGTGACGGACTCAAGAGTCTATCAAATGTTTGAGAGGACTCTTGATCTGTTCCGATTTACGGAGCACGATACCGTCCGTCCTATTCACCGTTTTGCATCCCGAGGATGAACAAACAGTACGCTCGAGAGATGTGTCGGAGGTTAAGTACCAAGCTGATGAGCTTGAAGAGAGGCAATGGAACAATCAATTAACCAAACAAATCTTTCTGATTTACGAATTTGGATGCTATCCATAAATGGAGTCACTTTAAAATTTAGTGTTTGCTGTGCTCCCTGAAGTGCGATTGATCGGGCTCGGTGTAGATCCCACATCACCGGGGTTTCCTAAAACTGGGTCTTTACCTGCTTTTACTGTTTATCAGGCAAATTTGTGAGTGCCAGATTGGATGGAAAAGCTGACTGGTCAAACAAACAAAAACCCTCAACCTATTACTATAAGGGTTCACAAGATGATAAGATACACCGCCCGTGCGGAGCACACGATGATTGAATTTGTCATTTTAATCACAGACTACTCATGAGTAGTAATAGACAGCTTCGAACATGAAACAGGAATGGGGTTGAGAGCCATATACCAGGGTTCGCAGGTCCCCTTAGGTGTAGCTGGAATTTAAGAATTTCAGGAAAATAAGTGAGGATTAAAATAAACATTGAGGCACACTAAATTCTGAAATCTCGGTCAAACAAAAAGGAAGCCAGAGTGAGGGTTAAGCGTGGAAAACTGGTGCTGGCGTTCCGTTCAGTACGCAAACAAGTGATTTTTTTTCTATTATATATCTGAACTCATTGACAGTCTGTTGAGCAAACCAACGAGAAAGAATCCTTCATTTCGAGGAAATCTCACATCGAAAATAGCATTTTCAGAGGAGATTTTTTTTCAACACCAACTGGTTTGGTCTTGTTATTTCCATCTCTACAAACTGGTTCACAATTGAAACTCCAGACGGGGAGGAAAACAGATCGCATTTGTTAACACGAATAACTTGAAAGGTTCTATGCATCGTTTGCAATATACAACAAACAATCGCATTACCAAAACTCGAGTACTCTGATAAGTTAAACTCTTATGCAAACAATGACAATAGCCAATATGCCAAAATTTGCCTTGACAAAGTAGTGTGGGATCAGCAGTGTTTGATTGCAGCATCGCGGAACATGAACATTCGGGGAATATTGAATCCCCATATTGGAATTATACATCAGTATAAATAGTATAGACAACACATCTTATACCCATCCAGGTCAACACTGTCTTATGTTTTACACATTGCACTACAAACAACAAAAGTACAGAGCAGCTGTTAGAACCCTGAACAAGGTACAGTAGTCAAATTAGGTAAGTTCAAAGCCCCCCCCCTCCGCCCCGCCCCGAAATTCGGTGCTGTCGATGTCGAAATAAACGAATATCCTGCTCAGTAGACACCCATTTGCTTGTTTTAGTACGATCTTGATGGGAGGTTCTCTGTCAGTGAGCCGATTGCTGTGCCTGGTAAGTGCGAACATATACCTGTTAAAAAACTGGTTATCGTTGGCAGAATTGTCGAAAACATCCTTTCTCTTTGTGATCCAATTGAATAAACACAAGTAGCACAATATGAGCAGGATTGATATTGGGCATCAATTTCGCGTGCTCTCAATCGGCTGCCTAATCACATTAAAACAGATCGAGTGTTATAAGAAGAATACCATACATGGACATTTATATAACTACAGGGGTTCGGGTGGAAAGAACTGGTTTGTTGAGTTGTTCACGAAGTGATTTGCGTACGGGTGAATGAGGAGGTGATAATGATCACAAAGATTCAGCAGAAGGGAATGTTAGCATGGAAACAGTTACGCAAAGTTTTCCGCGTTACGCTCAAAATGTGAAACCCAAGGATGCCTAGGCTTGCCGAATTGGTTGTTATTGGCCGTCTAAAGCCTGACCTATGCGCGTAAAAGGTCAGTGTAATGCAGTTGTTATTACCATGGTAATTCCCCTCCTCTTTCCTTCTACTCATCTCAGCCGTTCCCTTACCTCAGCTTTGACACTTCACCCTTCTCATTTCTTTATTACGTAACTCTTTTTGGCCGAGTTAATTGACCAATTTTCTACTCCGTTACCTTTCTACGTCCGTTCTGTTAGCTAGTGAATAGATTCGAATGTGATCTTACTATTCAGCACCATTGTTACCATTGTTAGGTATCGTGTCAAGTGTGCATTTCAATGTCAGAAATACGTTAGCCATCGCAGTTGATTCAAAGGAATCGGTTTTATTCGAGAGAAACTCGGCCTCAATGGTATTTACTCATTGGGCTATTGAGGGCTTCGACTGACTCCACTCATGCAAGGAAACATGCTCACATTCACGTCTGGGTATGGTGACCGATTTATCGATCCATCTCGACGTGATTCGCTTCCTTACCCGACCGACCGACAGAGGTCAAATAACTCCGGGTTCATTCATTCGTATCTATGACGCACACTCGATCAACGATCACGAACATAGCGTTCCCGAGTGGAACGGGTGTGTGGGGGAGGCGGGGGGAGAACGGTCCACCTCGACCCACCCACCCAACCCCTCTCCAGAACCATTCAACCTTGCTCGGTAACTCACTAAAAATGTACTTTTGTTTGTTCACGGGGAAGTGAGTTCATTCGTACTGGACGGGGTTTGGACAGACCCGGTCCATTGATTGACACTTGACGGCCGAAACACCAATAATCTTGTGGGGATTCCAATGGAGTGCGATTGGTTGGATTCACTTGAAGGTGAAAAGGTATATTTCATTTCTGGTTGTATCTGTTTCGTATTACGTAACGATTTCCTCCACGGTTAATCGCCTTCCATTACGTAACATTCCCCTTTTCTGAATCTATATAATCATTATCCCCTATTCCTCGCTCACCCATACTCAAATGACTTCTTTCGCCTGAACCCATGTAATTATATAAATGTCCATATATGGTATTCTTCTTATAACATTCGATCTATTTTATGCGCGTAGACAGCTGATTGAGAGCACGCGAAGTTGATGGCCAATATCAACTCTGCTCATATTGTGTTGTTATATTCAGTTGGCAGAATTATTGAAATACCAGAATTATTTCAAGCAGCTTCCCATACCGCTTTCTCTGCCAAGCACAGCGATATACCAGGAAACACTCATCTAGAGAGAGAGAGGGAACGAGAGAAACACATGCTTACCCGATAGAGAACCTCTTCCGGACTAAGAACTTTTCCTTCTTCGTCCAGACGAAATGTTTTGCACAAAACTAGGCGGGAATAGACTGAGTTGAAATCCCGTTCGACCTCCTTCGCGGCGGCTTCCTCGATAAAATGCCACGGATGACAGCCGGACTCACCTAACAGGCGTGGTCGTTTGAGCCCGTGTGTGAACACAGCCCCGAGTGCATTACAGAAGCTGAATTGGCGAATCGATGCAAAGGGGAATAATCGAAGTGAGAGAGAGAGGAAACAGGTTTACTAGTTGCGTCAACTTTGGACGGACACGGAAAGACATAAATTAAGTAACTATAGTTTTGGGAAGCAGTAAATACAACAGGCAGCACCGGAACTTGATCAGTGTAGTGCAGATAAGTAACAGTAGAGGTACGAGTGTAAACGGGACCGCCTGCGAGTAGAATCGTAACAGACAACTGCACTTTTATTCAAACACGCCAGTCTTACGACTATTCTCACTGGGCAATACCCACAGCTGCTTAGAAAAATGAATTCTCTGTTGTGAAGTGAGTCACGTTTTTCTGTTCTTCATGTATCACATTGAAGCCAAGATGTGTCAGTTGATTGCACGATGAATGTGTGACATCAAGATCGACCCGTAGCTGTTTATTCCTCTCACCCTGCACTTTTCGGATCTGATCGGTAACCACAGCAACTTCATTAACGCTTCTTGGAGTAGGGACTGCAGGCTCAAATGCCCGATGAATCGGAAACGCGGAGGGCTGTTTCTTTAACGTGCCACGACATTTGAGACAGTAGTATAAGTATCAGCTATGTTTACTGATTGTAGGAATGTACAACTATCAGGAAGGAGACTGCAATCAAACAAAGGTTGTCAGTCGAAATATAAATAATAGGGAGATTAGCGGTGGTGTTGGGGTTCGAACTTAGGGTCTCCAAATGACTATTAAATCGNTCGACCAACACCAAGAGAAACAGAATCAATCGGCAATTAGTTGAGCGCGCCCAAAGTTACATGCCGCGCAATCCTAGTCGGATAATGTAACATCGTGAAGGAAGAACCGACGCGAGCATGTTGGTTAATGTTTAACAACAAGCCTATCGGACAGGAAGAAAGGGTTGGTAACCTAAATTGCACCTAGTGTGCATGTAACAACTGAGTTCAAGAACTTATGTTTAGCTGACGGTATCTATATGAAGTTATTTGATATCCAGAAATGTCACGGTCTGTCAGAAATCGATCGCACGCATGCATACACAAAGTCTGCAAAAACCTCACACAAATCAAAAGGAGGAATAGAAGGATAGCATAGCAGAAAAACTCAACTGAACGACAAATTTTGGACCAAAACAGAGTGAGAGAGAGACTTACTGTCCTCGGACCAACTGAACAATTCTTTGATCTACACCATCATCTCCTGCTGGAGAATAGTTTTTTCCACGTTCATCCAAAAGCTCGACAAATTTGGCCGGAAACCAACCGCGTAGACCGTTCAACTCACCGACCCAACAATGCTCATCTTCCGAGTTGATGATAGTGATGATATCGTTCTTGCGGAATCCCAACTCATCCGGTTCGTGGCGTGTGAAGTCCAGTAAAGCTTTGGCTCGTCGACGACGATGTTGCGCCACCTGATTCCAGTTCAGAAACGTGCAATCATTATAAATGATGAGGAAAATTTCAACAGTATTGAAAATCTACAAATCTCTAAGTATATCATATGAATACTCATTTCGAAAAAGATCTGACACGTTACTTAACTGCTTTTGTGTGGTACAGTGCGGCTAGTAATCCTGGTCACATTTTAAAAGAGACAAATCAAAAGTTCAATTTTGTGGGTTATATATTTATATTTACCACCGGTTTGTAGACAAGCATGGAGCCAATGACACAAAAATAATAATAATAATAATAATAAATAATAACAATAACATGGAGCAGGTGGATTGGAATACAGAGCAAAGCGAGAAGAATGTGGAACAGTTAGAATAGAAAAAGATAGGTAATTGGGATAACAGAAACCTTTTTCGTGTTTAACCGTACACTTATTGATATTTTTTTTCGACTGGGCACAGGTTTTCAATAGACAGCATTCGCATCACTGACTTCCATTCTGGGCCATATCTCGTAGCGTCTCTAATCAACGACAATCCTCATCTTTTGGACCCCAACCTGGACGTCGGACTGCACCAATCGATGCCAAATCTGAAGTCAGCTTCCACATGCCTCTATGCCAAGTCACGATCTGACCACCGCGGCGCTTCTTCCAGCCATGCCCGACACGTGCAAAGACAGCACGGAAAGGTAGTCGATGGGGAAGCACACGCAATAGGTGACCAAGCCATCGGAGGCGATGTGGAGCGATTAATTCTGTTAGGGAACGACTATCCATACCCAACACACGACGACGGACCTTGCTCATTGCTCACCCGATGTTCCCACCAGATACGAGCAATGCTTCGGAGAC